TTTATCTTTGTCAAAATATAAATATTGAGACGCGCTTAATTAAAACAAGTTGGCTCACACGCCTTCTCTGATCCGTTTCGCTTCCTTCACTTAGTTCCTTTGATTGTCTTTTCAGATGAATGAGTGTACGAAATGTACGTATTCATACTTAATTCTCACGTTTGACTTATTTAATTCCGTTATTCGCTAACTCGATTTAACGTCAACAGTTGAGATCATGAGTCAGTTGAAGCTAAACCACCATGGAATACCTGGAAGCACTGGATGGCCGTTCCGTCCTATTGTGGGACTCCTCAGTTCTAGTGAGAAGTAGTGACCAGTGGAGTTCAACGGGGTCAGTTGTGAGATAGTAACTTATTGATGACAATGGTTGATGTATCTCTCAATTTTGTGGATTAGTTGAAGTTAGACATTAACACCATCGGTTACTGGCTCAGTGGTCTAGTTGGTTAAGCGCTCGCGCGCGAGACCAATAGGTCCTGGGCTCGAATCCCGCGAGACAGGGTCGTAGATGCTCACTGCTGAGAAGTCCCACAGTAGGACGAAACGGCTGTCCAGTTCCTCCAGGTTTCCCATGGTGGTCTACCTTCAAGTGAATCATGATCTCAACTATTGAAATCAATAAAAACTCCACAAAACATATGATTGTGTTTTAATATTAGTTAACTGATTAAAATGAAAACGTGTATGAGATACCTGTATAGTTTTGTATTACCTGGATAAGAATGATCTGTTTCATACTATTTTAAATGTTTACTTCTATGTTGTATTAATGTACATATTGTATTATTACGATTTTAGTGAATAAGAACACGGGTGGGGACAATCGAATGTATTTGACACAAAATTACAGTACTTGTTAATAAAATCTAACAATCATATAGTAAATACGTAATTTGCAAAATGTTCACCGATTGTCTCATAATGACTCAGACTTCATTGTCCTTGCATTTTCATACAAATTGCATCCTGTTTCCATTCTTTACTGTTCGATCCTCTTGTCTCTCTGCTTTGAGACCTTTTGTTCACGACTAACATCATCTACTACATATGTCAATATAAGTAGCACATACCACACTATTATTATTGTATTTACTGTTTTCTTTGTTAATTCAAAGCATAAAAGTAAACTAAATTTAATAATAACATTCCTTATTCATAAATTCCTTTGTTTTAATAATAAAAATAACATATAATCTGTGAAATAATAACAAAAGTTCAATGTACTTTATTCTATAATAATATTACATTATCTATTGTTAAACATGGTGATGTAGGGCCAGTGAAATGTCACTAAGCCCCCCACTAAAACTAATCTGGTCAGCATCCAATGCCGAAAACTTACAGAGCTATTTATTTTGGGGATTTATTTACCGCTACAGTGGTAAACAGGAGGAGTTAATGGAAGATGCATATTTTGATCTGTATTTGAGACGATATTATCTGGATTTCCTTGGATCTAAATATGAATATTCATGTTGAGACTTCAAAAGAGTAAACATTTGCTTCAAATGTCAGTATGTTATTCATGTAACTAGTGAATGTTGATGTTCATCAACTTTATTAGGCTGGTATATTTTTAAAAAAATCATTTTTACCAGTAAAAACCCTCAAAAATAATGAGCAATTTCTTATGATTGAATAAACGTTGCTATTTTCAGTGATTTATGATAATATGAAAACTATAACATACTGGTCCTACGTTTATCGAGATGGTGCAGAAAATTTATGGATCAGATGAATCATTTATGTAGAGCTTACTTTGAACTGGATGATGTGCTATGCTATATCTTCCTGGATAACAATATTAACACAAACTTCAGATGGATGTAATCTACTTGAATTTTTACATCAAATGACTGACGGCTTGTTCTATCAACATTCGTGTTAACTGATTGTTATTGATGTTTGCCCTAATTGCTTTTGAAAAGAACAACTATCCACGCAACTTCATCGAAAAATATCATATAATCTCATCAATAAAGACGAAATCAAATGTGAAAATTAATCAACCTACCATAAATAAAGGATATATCAGAAATTACAAGATTACAGAGGCTGGTTGGAATAGATATTAGCGTATAAACCAGAAAAGTTATTTGTTACATGAAACAATACATTTGACAAAATGATCATCCCTTTCAAATTCGTCTACATAAACAAGTGGACGATTGAGGATACACTTTTGACAGGGGAAATGTTTAAAGTTTGGACAGAGCGGTATAAGAAAAACTGAGAAATTTTTTAAGCTTGATAATCAGGTCAATTAGTAACCGGGACAAACATCGAAACTGACCTAGTTTATTGGCCAGTAAGAAAAACTATATAATCAAAAATCAGATCAAAATGGAAAATCAATCAAAATGAATATGCAAATAATGATAGGGCAAACGTCAACAACAACAACCAGTCAAAATCAATGTCGACAGATTAAGTCGTCAGTCATTTGGTATAGAAATTAAATTAGATTATCTCCACCTGAAGTTTTGTGTTGATCATGCTGTCCAGAAGGACAATGGGAGTTTCATGATTACACCATTCAGCTGAAAAAAAACTACCGAGAATAAAGCGTACTTTATGAAGACGTTTTACTTCGAAATAAAGATCCTGTCTCCAATAGACTAGTACCAGTTGTTTTCTAGTGAAAAAAATATGTTAAACGTACCTGTCGAGAAAAGAGTTTGTTTTTAGACCAACGCAGCAAAGTGTCAGTCAAAACCTGTTTAATCATAACGTTTATGAAATATTTTTAAGTAACTCATATCGTTACTTACTTACGCCTGTTACTCCTCATAGAGGAGCATAGGCCGCTCACCAGCATTCTCCATCCAACTCTGTTCTGGGCAGTTCATTTCCAGCTCCTTACAGTTGTTATTTATCCTCTTCATATCTGATTCTATTTCCTGACGCACTGTGCTATTTTGGCCTTCCTCTTTTCTGCCTCCCTTCACGATTCCAAGTTAGCACTTGCCCCATGATGCAGTTTGACGATTTGCGTAATGTATGTTCTATCCATTTCCATCGTCTTTTCTTAATTTCCTCTTCAGCTGCAAGCTGATTTGTTCTCTCCCACAGAAGGCTGTTGATGATGGTATCCGACCATTGGATATTGAGTATCTTGCATAGACAACCATTTATAAATACTCGTACCTTCTTGATGATGGTTATAGTAGTTCTTCAAGTTTCAGCTCCGTACAGTAGAACTGACTGTTTCGACGTTCGTATTGAAGATTCTGACTTTGATATTGGTTGAAAGTTTTTTAATTTGCATATGTTCTTCAATTGTAGGAATGCGGACCTTGCTTTTCCAATCCTCGTCTTTACGTCTACATCTGATTCTCCTCGTTCATCGATGATGCTTCCCAGTTACGTGAAGGATTCTACATTTTCCAGAGTTTCGCCATCAAGTGTGATTGAGTTGGTGTTCTTCGTGTTGTATTTGAGGACCTTGATTTTCCCCTTGTTTATGTTGAGGCCTACTCGTATCGTGCGATTGTAAAAATCGTTTATTTTATTATCATGGGAAGATTTATGGACATTGCAGAATTTGTAGTTTAAAACACGACCTGATCTTAGCTAAACCACCATTATAACCCAGGATATACTGGACATCTCTTTCGTTCTACAATGGGACTCCTCAGCAGTGAGTATCCACAGTCTTGCAGGCGGGAATAGAACTTAGAACTTCCTATCTTAGGTAGGAACACCTAACCTCTGACCACTAAACTCCCATCCGTCCATCACTTGTTTAACTACACTGGGTACAATTATTTGAAAAACAATATCATTGGTTTTACACCGAAGTGAATTTATGAGGACTTACAAGCTTGTACGAGTTTTGATTTTTCTCCACATGGCGTATGTTCACGATAAGAAAGCTACCACGATATTAGCAATACCCATAAAAGAAATATTCACTGAAGTGACATTCACTTTCATAAGATTATCAGTATTATTAGTTAACTGTTGTAGTGTGGAATAGATCATGTTCTACAGCTTGTATTTAACCTAATGATGATGATTTTCGAATGTTTTTTTTTAGCAATTAACTCATAAAGAATGAGATACAACTTGTCAATTACATGGTTATTTGCATACATTGTAAAAGTGAACATTATTTTACATAATAAAAACTTAGAATCTCAAATTTCTATTTTTGTCAACTAGCTCAACTCTATGCATACATAATATCAAGGTTCTAAAGTATAGTGAAAATAAATACAGTGATTTTAGACTTTGAATGATATAATCCAGAATCCATCATAATTGCACAGAACTATTCACTTTGATCATAATCTAGATTATATTTTCCAGGACTCTTCCATATATATATTCTTCCTACCACCTTCTCAATAATTTTGTCTTCTCTATCATCATTTCCATAACACTGTTGGGATTCTTTCGCTATTCGTCTTATTAATTTCAACTCATTATGGTTTCGCAGGCTTTGACAACTTCAGCCAACGTACATTTCTGTCATGTTCTATGTTGATTATAACTGACTAATTAAAATAGATGACCACTCATTAGATTCATTGAACAACGGCGTGTTTTAAACACGAGAATAATTAGTAACGAACTCATTTCATAAACTTATGGTATATTCTAACTATTCAATACATAAAGATTCACATTAACTTTACTTAATTATGAATGTCCTTCAAAGTTGAGCTTTTTCTTTCAATATGGTTAAATTAATGAAATATAAATGGTAACTTCTTGCATTGATACTAGAACCAAGGTCAACATCTACCTCAAGAAATCAAATAATACAATGAAATAACAACAACAACAACAATAAAACAACAGATGTAAAAGTACTTTTTGGTTAATCCATTTGTGCTTATCTGTGTATTTGACTTCTATTCTAAGTAAATTAACAATTATAGATGTGCAGATGAATCATAAAAAAAATTGTAGATTTAGTTTAATAAATGTGGGTGAACTCGACAAAACCTATTTTTAATGTATAACACCTAAATAACTATCTTTTCATGTCTATGTTTGTAACAGTCATGTGGTGTTATGATTGTATGGTAGACAGTAAACAGAATTCCATTATAAATATATGTTTTACTAAATAAGTTCTCTGTGTTTTGGGTATCATTAAGCAATAAGGTATGTTATTAGTTTTGCACATTTCATTTTCATAGTATATCTTTTAATCTAACGGTTAGTTTAGAATAATTGCTAATACTAGTAATCACTGATATTTCACTGATTGAAATCATGAGTCGATTGTAGCTAGACCACCATGGAAAACCTGGAAGCACTAGACGGCCGTTTCGTCCTATTGCGGGACTCCTCGGCAGTGCGCATCCACGATCACGCACCTCGTGAGATTCGGACACAGGACCTATCATTCTCGCTCCAGGCGCTTAACCAACTACACCACTGAGCTGTGGGTGCGCACTGCTGAGGAGTCCCACAATAGGAGGAAAAAGTCATCCAGTGCTTCCAGGTTCTCCATGGTGGTCTTACTTCAACTGACTCATGATTTCAATCAATGATATTTCTAAAATCTCCACAAAACCCCTTCTGATAATCACTAATATGTTTACAATAATTTATCCCATTTACTTACTTTTATGTTTAGAGTAAATATTTCATCTCGTTAAATAGGTTTTATTGAGGGTGGTTTTAATATGTATTAAATATTTATTACATGTCGATGTTAGTTGAAAACCATGGAGCAGTAAACAGTTGTTTCACCCTAGTATATGACTCTTCATCAACGCACCCTGATGACCCTTCCAGAGGTCGAACCCAAAGTGATATTTTCAATCTATTAAATATTTTGGAAGTTTATTTGAATCATTCATGTATCAAAATTTTATTAGATCATACAATGACAAATAACGTTTCCAACATAACGATTAATAATTTATGCCTAAATTAGGCACCTAATAAAATTCATTGAAAGTTTCTAGTAAGACAGTTGCTAAAAATTGCAATCCAGGCAGCATGTTTCTCTGTATTCGCCACTCATCAGTTTAATGCACCAGCTTCCTAGTGTCGATGTTCACACTGAGATACAAACTACGGAAAATATACAAATCGTCACAAATAAAATTCATACTTATGGCATAAGTCAGGGAATATCATCAGTTTGATATTAGATGATAAAACAAGACAATCACATTTACATGTAAATGTAAACGTTGTACAAACAAATGATAAAATGATTGTTTATTCACATTAGTTCATCTATTGCTTACTGTTTATGTTGTAACTAGTTCCACATATACACTGCTACCATACTAAAATATATAAATGAGATAAATGCTTGAACATGAGACCAGTATTTCTCGTATCGCTAGGGATAACACATAAGGTTTAATTCATTTGCTGTCCAGAAGGAATAAACATCTCCTGGTTGACTAAATCCGTTTATAGAATTCATATTCGGTTGATCTATATTTCAGTTTGACAACAAAAATTGACGTTATTCTGACTACCAATGAGAACATATAAAAAGTGAATAACTGTTTCGTCTTAGTATTGGGCATATAGGTAACACCCACCAGGTGACAAACAATGAACATTCAGACTTTGTGGCAAGCCCATAACTGTTAGACCACTAAGCTGAAATTCGTTGGTTTATATTTCTAACTTCAATCACTTTACAAAATTAAGCTATCAACAATCATTATTAATAGTAATATTGTCTCATCCTCAAAATGCTTGGACTCTATTGGTCATGGTTTTTCACCAAAACCCCCTTGAAGTTAGTTACTATCGCACACTAAGTTATTATATATCTGAAATAATTCGTTTTTCACATTATTACCCCATTACATATACTGAGAACATATTAAGTGTTTTTCTTTCCGTTCGAATGTAGAGAAGTTTTTGTTCATATGGCTAAAATAGGCAAAGGGATTCAGATTCCTCTATCATGGGTACCTGCTAAGGATGGAAATGTCCCTAATAATGCTCTCAGTGTTACTCGTGGTATCTATGTGGTTCGTTGCAAACACGATGGTCAATGGATTCCTGGGAAGGCTGCAACTGGACATAATGCAGCTTATTATCCATATGGTGGTGAAGAAAAGAATACAAGAGAATATGAAGTCCTGTGTGATACCTCATTTTCAGGACATCAAGGGTACATTTTATCATTTTCTGGTATGAGTTATTGTATCACATATTGTAAAATGAAATATTTTCTGATAGACAGGTTTCAAGAAAAGTGGTCTCAAAGTAATATATACATTGAAAAGTATTGAATTTTCTTAATAATTGTGTACGCATAGGATTTATGTTATTCAGTGATGTTTTTAACTTTGTATTTTGACTGATATTACTGGACATACAGTTTCATGGAACAAAATCAAATTTCAGCTTTATCGACGTTTACAGATATTAATTTTAGTACCACTAGTAGCTTGTTAGAATAAATATATTTTGGTATATCCCAATGAGTAGAAAAATTGTATTTCTTTTATCTGAAGAAGTGGCTTACATTAAGTCACGAAACGTCAGAAATACAACTATTTTATACTCATTAGGATATAACAAAAGTATATTTACGGTTAGCTTTCTACCCAATGCTTAGTTTATTTGAAACTATCAAATCCAACCATGACAGTGATACCTAATAGCTTGTTTGTTGTAAAGTGTATCTACATATTTGAAATATTAGAAAATGTTCCCAGTCATTTCAATTTCATTAATAATATCCATAATAAATCTGAAACTAACCACACAAATAATAACATTTAAGTTTATATATCACTGAAAGTGATTCATTATATGTAATTTGTCATATCATATTTAACTTATATTTTAAGAATCCCCGTGGTCTTTATATTCACGCATGAATAACATGTACTTTTAAGCCGCGAATAGTTACAAATGTATCCCAAGCTGACAACTTTGGGGAAAATGTGGTCCATTTTGGGGAAGCCGCTATAGTAAATTTTGGGGAAATTTTGGTGTTTGCGTCTCATTTCCCCAAAATTTCCCCAAAGCTGGCAGCTTGGGATATTATTGGTTAGGAACAAATGTACGTTTAACTTTACTCTATATAGAAAAGTATTTCAGATTTTGTTCTCTACAAATAAGTTAATACATTTCAAAGATAAACTCAAATAAACAACATGTATACTTGTGCCAGAAGGGGTTCTTGTGGATATTATAGTAATTTCAATGGTTGAGATCATGAGTCAGTTGAAGCTAAACCACCATGGGAAACCTGGAAGCACTGGACGGCTGTTTCGTCCTAATAAGGGACTCATCAGCAGTACGCATGCACGATCCTGCCTTGTGAAATTCAAACCCAGGACATATCAGTCTCTCTCACGAATGCTTAATCTATTCAACGGTCTTAATGTCTAACTTTAATCATTTCATGAAATTGTGCCGTCGTCCAACACACATCAGACCCGGTTGAAATCTACTGTTCACCGCCTGTCACTAGAACTCCAAAAAATACCCCTTGAAGCCAGTCACTAGTGAGCATTTTCCGATTGGTATCAGAAGGGGCTTTTGTGGACAGCTGAGATCATGAGTATATTTGTTCAATTTGCTATTTCTGAGGAGCCTCCCAAACCAATATTGATCTTATTTTCTTTTCTTCTCATCAATTAATTGATTATATAGTTCAATTCGGTTTAGATAACTGGAACATAAATACTCTGTTGATTATTCTCATTCTGTACAGATATGAATGGTTACATGCATCATATGGTGGTGTGCCGAAAAATGCAATCATTGCTGGCATGTCAGGTTTTGATCCACTATACATAGCCAAATCTTCAATTAATGGAGAACCATCTGTTGGAAAGGTGAGTAGACCTAACCACTTGTGTTATATCCTGTTTCCTCTGATTAGATAAATTATTTTAACAAGACATTTAGTGAATTCTCTTATGCTAATGAACTGCATGATCAGATTGATTCCATATACGTTGTACACTGAAAAAATGCTATCTAGAATGAATAGCTCTATAGAAAATGAAAAATATATTATTTTATAGTTAACTTACCAGTTCATATGTCCCATGCCACACCAGAAATTATCACATCTGCATATCTTTATTAAACGTTTCACAATCCCATGTTCTGGACGTTATGTTTCCAATTTCTATGTTGGACATTTCAAACAACTGTATCATACTGTCTCCCATCGATTGATGTATTGAAAATAAAAAAGCTGTTTGAAACTATGAAGTCCACGGACTTGGATGAAACTCAGATTCGTATAATGGTGTTATGGAGAATATTGAATTCTATAGTTTACATCACTAAATGAACTTAGTTGTACAACCAGTGAAAATTAAGGGACACTGGACAGCTCTCTTGTCCTAGTATGAGACATCTCAGCAGAGGAAATTCAGAACACCACTGAGGATCAAAACAGGACATTTGAGTTTCATGTTGAACGCCTGATCTTTACAGCACTGAGTAAGAAGTCAATATTTTATATGTTTAACTCTAACTGATTCTCCATATCATTCATTATAACTGATGTTTGATCCACTTATGTCACGGCTGAACTCTACTGGTAATGAGTTTTCAATACAACTACGTGAATTACACCACGAATCTGATCACAAGTAAGTATATATTGATTCTCATTACACGGTGTTGTGAGGCTTGTGGAATTTCATAGTTTGCATCAGGTGCGTAGAGTAAAGGATAAACATCATCTATGACGTTGGAAGATGGTTGTGAAAAGTTGCCGAATTGAGTGAAGCTGGAAGTATAAAGCATCGGCTACCAGTTCAGTGGTTTAATGGTTAGGTGTAATTAGAGAGACCTTAATACAAATATATATACTGTTCTTGACCCCAGATAGTATCTTGACTATATATCGCCGAGGAGTCTCACCATAGGAAGAAATAGCGCTTCACTGCTACTTTCATTTCAGTATTTGTCTGAGGTCAGTCAATAATCTATTCAACTCAGATTATTGTGTGTGTTTATTTTTAATGTAAATAAAATATTGTCCACTTATTTAATCGTAACTTTTTGCATCATCTAGGTACATAGTGGCCATGAATGTGCATATTTACCATGGGGTGGTAAAGAACACTCAGTGAAAGAATATGAAGTTTTAGTTTGGAAAAAGTGAAGTTGATTTTGTTGTTCTGATCTCCAAGATCATCGAAAGATTATCTCTTGTATAACTGTTTCCATTTAATTAGAAGGAACAATAAAATGATTAGATAAAAGTGTATCTCTTCGTGTTAAAAAATAACTTGATGTACAATTATCAATAAAAACATCATAACAAAAACATACTACAAAGATTTCTTAGTAAAATGAAATTAAAAATAACTGCTGTTTGTTCATTGTCTTTGATTGCTTAAAATTGAGTCCTTTATGTATTCAAAAGACTAATTGGACAAACATTACTCGGAATTGACTGAAAACTGAGTGCTAACCACAATGATGTTTTACTCGTTCTATCAGAGCACATCAAATTCTATCGACAGAATGGTACTATGGTTACTAGCATTGTAGTAAAAGAGAACAACAGTGGAGACAACAACTTTTACAAACATTTGTGGCAAAAGTACAAACTATGAGAATTAACAAAATAAATGCAAATAATATCAAAAACTATTTACAAAATAAGTGTGTCATGCTTATCTCCACAATGTTTAAGACAGAGATTAATCAGTTTCTTATTGGCATATGTATATCCTGTGAGGATTGCCTTGATATTGTCATTAAGGCACAAGCAAAGGTATAAGCAAAGATGGTTGATGACTAGTGATGGAATGCAGGACGTGACATTCGTCCCGGTTGGAACTTGTCAGTTGGATGTGCCTGCATCTCAGAATTAAAGTTCATTCCAGGACTCGAATGAGTGCTTGTAACTTATTATTCAGTAAACAACATCCATTTATAGGTAAATCATTCTATTTGACTAGATGGAAATTTATTTGAGTATTTTACTCTAGTCCAAATTATCTATTATGATAATGAGTTTATCTCATTAGATAGTTGCGAATTAGTTTGTAAGATGAATCCACACAACTCATCACTAATACATTTTATCGAGATAACTAAAGGTTATAGTAAGTAAAAATGACGGTTATTAATACTTTGTCTTAATAAACATTCAACATTCCTTACTAAAAATGGCCTAATGTGTGTTTGATAATTTATCCGCATACAAGTTACAAACCTTTAATGTACTTATAATAAATACTGACAGATGAATGGATCATTGATAAAGTTGACAACTGTTTTATTCAAGCTTAATATTATTCTTAACCAAAATTAATAGAATATCATTTTCAAAATGAGGGTTTGTGGAAATTGTAGTAATTTAATGGTTGAATTCATGAGTCAATTTAAACTAGACCACCCTGGAAAACCTGGAAGTACTGGGCGGTCATTTAGTCAGCAGTGCGCATCTACGATCCCGAATGCGGGATTCGAATGCATTTGACACACGAAGATATTTGTATTTTTTAAAACAAACTTTGTCCCATCCTATTTGTGAAATTTTCTCATTCCGTTTCTTCCGACTAAATAATTAGCTTTAAATAGGTAATAATTGTTTTATAAGTAAAGATGAATGGTGGCTAGCAGTGGAATCCTATTTGGGACTCGTCAGCTGGATGTACCAGCATCCCAGAGTTAATGTTACAAGATACAAGCAAATAATACCAAGTGAATTTAGGTAATAATTCGTTATTCATTTCTGAGAATTGATATAAAATGCAATTACTTCTCGACGTATCAACTTTTCTCCAAATTATGAACGTTAATAACGTACGAAGTACAAGCTCTATCGTCTCGAACGTTATCACGGACACGGATAACGTGTCCTTGAATACGTTGTATCTGGTAGTGTTCCAATCGCTTGAAGCGTTAAAGAGCGCCATCTGAACTAGTGAAAGGGCGAGGTAATGCCATTATTCAGCGTGCGACTCTCATTTCCACTAGTATTGGAAGCCGTATATTAAATTTATATGTTGAAGAACCGGCTGTAGAAACCCAAGAGGATCCTCACAGCCGATTATACGAAGGAGGTAGTTTGAATACTGTTATCATAATGTTCATGAAGGTCTACAACCAACATTCACTGCCCGGCCTTCATATATTGTAAGTTTATTAAAGGTTACTGGACTGTGTGGTAATGTGCATCACAATCATGAGTGCGATTCCTTGAGGTACGACAATAATTCGTGAATGAGCATGTTAACTGACGAGAAAATTGAAACAGTGGTTTGGGGACAGCAGCATTCAATATTGTGCACTTCGATTCTCAATCTTATGGAAAATGCCTGAATCCCCAAGATCTTTTTTAACATAAGCCAACCTTCCTGGTAAGCAGTGTGCTTATTTGTATTGCAAACGCTAGGTCAGGCCTACTGTACACGCACTAATACAGAAGTGAACGCCGAAGCAACTAATTCCATTGCTAATTGATCGAGAAACGTTTATCTCGATATACATTCACAGGGTGGTCAAACACAATTGGTGTCTTTTTTTCAGAAGTTAAAATTGTTATCAAAACTCCGATGGAACAGTCAGACAGAATTATTTATTCAAAATAAAATTCAAATGTAAAAATGTAAATTCTCATATTCAATCAAATCACTTTATACTACTTAGATTTGAACTAATCAGATTACAAAGATGCACGGTTTACAGCCAATTAACAAATTATTACAGAAGACAAAATGTTTTAAAGACAGCAAAAACGAAGATTGGTGCAGAATAAGGTCATCCGCAACAAAAATTTTTATGACCTTATTAATTCTATTGAAATCCTCGCTACATCATGATACATATGTTCATCTTTAATCACCCTCCTATGTATACTTATGTCAATATCTGTAATAACGTTGATTTTCAAATATTCTAAGTTATAAGCGGCTGATGAGAGCCTCATGAAATAAAATGAATTCATATTCTTCTGCACCAATCTTCGTTCTTGGTGTCTTTAAGATAATAAGGGGAACTATGTGGACAAAATGTTTGTTCATTATCACATGACCATACACATTCAAGACCGAGTTAATCAATCACTTATTTCTAAAGTTTTTCATCACACCCAAGAATTTCTCATCAACGATGAGTGAGGAATCACAGGAACCGTGCAGTATTTGGCGTTTGAAGCGAACGATACTAGTTTCGAGTCCCGGAGTGAACACCAACTCTGAGATGCAGGTACATCCAGCTGACGAATCCCGAATGGGACGAAACTAGCCACTAACCATCTTTGCTTATAAAGCTCATAACTTAAGGCAATATTGAGGCAATTCACACAGGATGCATATATGCCAACAAGAAACTGATCAATTACAGTCCTAAACAACAATTGGAAGATACAAGTAAACAAAACCAAGTGAATTTAATTATCTTTTTATTTTCTCCTGAGTCAACTGATTTTTCGTATATTACTTGACACTACTTGTTAATATATAGTAACCAGTTGATTTCCAGAAATTTTTAAACCCCTTAAATTTTTGTCTAAACACAACAGCTTTCATATTTATGTGTTTTTAGTATTCATATTGATGCCTGATAATCATGAATGGATTCAGATAGGACGATTAGCTGTCATTAACGTTCTCGTATGTTGTATTTATTCTTTATATTATTATTACAGGAAGCCTTTTTCTTTCCGAGCATACAGTCGTGCTGACCACCACAAGTATCTCACGAGCTGAAGTTTGTAAACGCATATATAACCGTTATTTTGCACACCAATTTCTCATTCACTTCATACATTTAGTTGAACACTCCGATAGAATTAACAGTAATTACAATATTCACCGACTCCATTAAATCTAAGACAACAACAAGACAGTTAACGAAGAGAATGAATCACAACAAAACTTACAGTCTGTCGAAAAGCTTGCTTGAACTTGTTTTCAACTACTAAACATGTCAGTGAAAATCTTAAAGAACATGGTACGAAATTCCTGTGGTATAGAAATGTCGGGAATGTTGTCATTTGGAAATACAAATAATGAAACAGTAGTTTCATTTTCCATATCTTATCTATAGTTAAAGATATACACAATCTATTAATTATATTTTCAACATCGTGGTAATAAAAACAACAATTCATCTTTCACTGTCAACCTTCCTCAATGCGATTACAGAAAAGTTAATACAAGTTTAGTTTACAAAGAAAGTAGCATAAACATTATTCTACAGCAATGAATGTTCGAAATTTGTTTCAAAATGTTCAGGTACTTAAATTTCCTTCTTACGTTGTTTCACCTTGCATTTCGAACGTTATAAAGCATACGCTATTCAGTGTCCTTTGAAATAATCATTCATTTCCTTTCAATACACTCCACTTTGATAACAAAACTAACAACTTTACAACATACCCTAGAATGGTAATTCATGAATACGATCACCTTAATATAAAGTCATTTTACTAGTTTCTTAATCTTCACACTGGTCTGCGAGATTTATTTATCTACGTTTTATGAAACAGTCAATCATATGACTTCGCTTCGAAAAGGAACTCATCATACGTTTATAATTTAATATTTAATAATATATAAACTAGAATAAATTTGCTTTTATTAAATATCAAATAAATATCGTATATGTGTGCTCTAACCAAAGGTTTCGCATTCGTTTCCCCGGATATCACGATTCATCAGTAGGTTCAGTAATAAGATAATAGATTAATACTGTGTTAAGATGTATTATTTTCACACATTTTCAAAGATTGCAAACAAAAAAATGGCATGGTAAAAAAGAAAAGAACATCTGATGTATGAAGCTAATGATGTCTCCGGTACAAAACTGTATTTAAAAATTTAAATCTCAATGTTTCTGCCACACAAGTACATCATATTCATTGACTGAATATTCCTTACCACCCCATGGTAAGTAGGCACATGAATGACCTTCGTGTAGCTGAAATATATAAATAAAGATAAAAAAAGTCAAGAATGGATGCATAACGTGAAGGAATCACTTGTATTCAGTCAGCTAACCAATCAGTTGACCGGTCAATCATCCGTGTAGTTGAAATAATGAATAATCACAATGGTTTAGAAAATTTATAGCTCAGGTGGATAATTTGGATGAAGTCTCGTCCTCTGAACTGGATGATTTAGTCGTAATGCCTTCATTGTTGTTCAGAAGTACAACGAAGCCTCCACGAGTAAACCATACAGTTCAGAGAACGGAACTTCACCACAAACACAATGTTTAGTGGTTGGATGTTGTTGATAGGAAACCCTATTCGAAGTAGGTTTCGTTCTGTCACTCATCCAAAAAGCATTCATACTTACTGATCACCAAATAGTAGCCAAAAACATAGTGTATGTAATGTGGGGTCACCTCGATAAGTAACCATATTGCAACTTGATCGACGGAATTTTATCAGCACCAAGGACCAGATAAACGTTACATTAAATAGTTAGACTAGTTGACAGATGATAATACATTTAAAGGACCACTATTATTCGCTTAAGGATTCGAGTAAATGAAGAATTAAATTGTACGGATTTTTTTGTAAAAATATCACTAGGGTTCTTGTTCCATACCTAATTTCATTAGGTTAGAAATTTACTATAACTCCAACTGGTTTGTCATTGAATCAGAACCAGTCATATATGTGAGTGTTTTTAGTTCATTGAAACCAACAACTCGATTTGGAAATAAACTAAAATGCTTTCATACTATTAGACTAATGAGTTGTGGAAACTACTCATGTTCCTCTGAAATTCAATTGTTTGCTTAGTTTGTCATAAAAGTATGGAATCCTTTAAACGGATATTTGTCAGGAAAAGTCATCACTTATTATTGTTGACTTGAATGATTATAGTTTGTTGAGACCATTTTGCTGAGTTAGTATTTCTTTTTTTTGTTAGAAACTATAAAAGGCAACGTTTTAACCATTTAAAACACATTCCTAATTGCATGATTTACTTTTCGTAGTAACATGCTGTTGAAGAAGACATTTAAGTATTAAAGTTGATAATCATTTAACTTAAATTTGCATTCTGACAATTTCCTTAAATATTAAGTAAATCTGTAATCACTGTGCAGTAGTGTCATATTATCACATCAATTAAAAAAACTGAAGGACTGAAGCTTATGAGAATTTCAGTTGAATATTCTTATCTAATAACCATGTATCAATTTAAAAGTAGAAGTAGACTTTTGTTGTGATTCTACACTCAAGCAAAGCATGAATATTTAGTATTTTTTTCAGTTTGAAGCACAACAATAAGCAAAAATGGTTAACAGAAACCTAACAACTAGCAAGTTCTAGACTGGCAATTTTGGTATCTGAAAATTATTAAAAAAAGACATACAGTTACAAGTGTGGGGTTATAGAGATTATTGAATTTCACTAAAATCACAAAGAGATCTAAGTTCGACAACCATTGAAAACCTGAAAGTACTGTACGGCCGTTTCGCCCTCGTATGGGATTCCTTAATAGTGATCACTCACGACCCAATAACCGGGAATCGAACCCATAGGTTCCGATTTGTCGAGGGAATGCTCAACTTATAGACTATTGAACAGGAATTCGATAAATTTCACGTCCAACTTTAATCGATTCACGATATTGAGTAACCATCTTCCTTGCTGTGGGGTTGCAGATGTTCACTAGTGAGGAGTTCCATGACAAGACAAAAGGTCCGTATAGTGCTTCCAGGTTTTCAATGTTAGTTTGACTTGCATCGATTTGCGATCTCAATGAAATATGTAGATAGTTGTTTACCTTTCCAAAACATGTTTCATCATTCACAACACCTTTTACAATGTACAATGGTTCACCATCTTTAGCTATTCCAGCAACAATTGCATTTTTTGGAACATCACCGTCAAATGCTCTTTCCCAACGATATCTGTAAAAAGAATTTACATTGCTATAGTAATATGAAGAAAATTATTAATTTAAGTTTTGTCAAATCACCAAGAAAATGATGACATCTTTTCTATGATTCATTACTCCTTTTTAATATTCAATGGAACTGAAAAAGACTAGAAACTGTCGTAATATTCATATATATATGCTTACTGAATATTCTGTTTACTTGCGAATTTCATGTTTAGAAAAGTGGGTAATTCTTACAAGTTAAGTATTCTCAAATAAATTAATCTATTTAATCAAATGTTTTACGTTCGTATTTGTGTTATGTATGCTACAACAGGACTTCCAAATTTAGTACTCAATAATTTGGTTTGTTTTACACATCACTTGAAAAATGTATTTTCATAATTGAGTGTTAGGTTTATAATTCATGATGACAGTCTTACTATCAACTTTTACATCCATGTTTACAATACATTTTGTGAATTGATTTGTCAGTACAATGCACTATTAGATCATTCATCCTATCATCAGGGTTTAATGCATCATGTACAACTTTGCATTCAGTAATATATATATATATATATATATATATATATATATATATATATATATCCGAAAACAATCATTAATTTACCCTTTGCAAGAACCAGGAATAAAACTTTCACACAATACTTCATAATCGTAAGACTCTAATTCTGCTCCACCATAAGGACAATAGCATTTTCCATTCATCGGTACTAATTTTCCAGGCAATAATTCCCCACTGTGTTTACTTCGTGCTACACATATGTTATCAACAGAAACTGCACCAGCTGGACAAAATCCATCACGTCCTGGAATCCATGAAAGTGGTATTTGCAAACCTCGACCGACTTTAGCCATGATAAATATATATATTTATATTTTTTTACTAAAATAAAATACGTGAAGACTTATAAATAATTTTACCAAAAAGCGATAAGTAGAATAAGTTAGGACATAATGCAGAATAAAAGATTTCACAATCCTTTTAGTTAAACTTTAAAATCAGCCATTACATTAAAATCACAAAACAATGATGGTTTAGTGGCCCAGTTTCTGACTCCAGTTAAACTGTATTCTGATTGTTATCGAAATATACATCCCGGCTACCCTCATATACTTTATCGACTTAATTCGCGTTGGAGAATAACAGAATGAACTAAGCCAAACACGAGAATAAATTTTGAATACCTATTTTTTATGTACTCACTCATCTGGAGAGACAATCAAAGAAACAAAGTGGGGAAGGCGAAGCGGCGAATGCCATTTGAAACTGGAAAGCGAAATGATGTGGAGAAGGCGAGTGAGCCAACTTGTTTTGATCAAGCGTGACTCAATATTTATATTCAGGCAAATAAATTACAAACATGTAATGAATAGGGTAAGTAATGAACACATATACGATCATACAAAAAACGATCGGTGTTAATAAGTGAGTAATTGAAAAGATCGAAATGTAGCTTGGGAAAAATGAATAAACTGGTCTGTCCAGAAGCTAGAATAACCTATGTGAGCTTGGTATAGTACCAGCCACTACAATGGAATTTGTAGAGTACCCATTTCTTAGTGTTTGATAAGTGTGGCGTCAAGCGTTTTCGGGTATCGCTTTTCATTCATTTAGTGGATGCGTGCTGCATCTAAAATCACAATTTTCACTGAAGACTTCCTTTTAAGTACTAACTTTCATTGTATTCGCTTTTTAAATCCAGTAATTTGACATCTTCACAGAAGACATATGTTGATAGCTTTAGAGGACTGAAATACAATCCTCATACTATTGGTACTGACACAAAATGAACGGAAGAATGTCCGAAAATACTAGATATAGCACTTTTATCAAACAGTGAAAGAAAACGATTATCCTGAACTCGAATTCACGGACAAATATCTTATCTCCGACCGTAACATAACGTCACTGAAAAAAGCTGGTTAGGATGATGGGCACTGAAAAGAGTCATATGATAAAATTTATTTTCAATACAAATTATTCTCCATTACCAGCAGTGTCTATTTACAATGTGGATAATGGAGTAATATAATACAAACTTGACAACTGTTTCAACAAAAACAACTGATCACAAATTATTAATCATATAACCAAGTTTCTTTTAGATTGGTATCATAGGCAAGACCAAAAGCTAGAAGAGTCAGTTCTAACAAAATAACACCCAACTAAACAGAATATTCAGTTCAACTATAAGTGTGATTAGGAGTCATTTAACAACTAAATGATTACGGAGGATATGGAAACTATCAATCACATGAAGTTAATAACTAATAGGCTGAATTCTAGCCTCTTTATATCGATTTTTCAAATCATACTTTTTATTCGTAAATTTCATCGGTCTAAATGATTATCCTTATATCATGTCAACTGTGATTTTTTTTTCAATGTAGTTTCGTAGATAACTGGCTTTCCAATGAAACATTGATAAATTCAATTTTAGTATCAGAAAGGGGTTTTGTGGATATTATAGTAACTTAGTAGTTGATATCATGAGTTAATCGAGGCTAGACCACCATAGAAAACCTGGACGGCCGTTTCGTCCTATTGTGAGACTCCTCAGCAAAGCGCAAACACGATCCCGCCTCGTGTACTTCTGAGAAGTCCCACAATACGACGAAGCGGCCGTCCAGGTTTTCCATGATATTCTAGCTTCAATTGACTCATGATATCAACTATTAAATTCCATTTTGATAATCACTCATTTATGAACACATACATCACTTGAAATTATCATTAATATTCCAAGAAAAACTATGATTTTTATTTAAATATCTGTATACAGAGAATACATCATTTCATAGGATATCTGTAATAATATTCTGATAGATAAATATGATTTGAGATAACCAACATCTTTGGCTTATCCCAACATTATCAGTTTACAATGAGTTACTTACTCTATACTTTCGTTAATACAGTAATTCCATTTCCATAATTACTATGGTTTTTATACATATGGCTATGTGTAAGTTCTCAGAAGAAAAAAAGCCGTTGGTAACAGTTTTTCTAATATTTGTCTATAAATATTTGATTTTATTATTCGATAAATAAATAAAACATGAAACTTTGTAAATAATTTGAAATAAAACAAGAGAATCAAATATTCTCTGATATGCATTGTTTGTTCACTTCAATATGCACTCACTCTCATACCCACCCATACACATAGATCATGGTATCAGTTTTCCGTTTCGTTTATTCATTTAAATGATGATTCATTTTCACAATGATAATAATAGTAATATTGGCTCTATCCAATATTAGTTTATAATAAAATGGAATGCCTAGCATACAGTATTTCAGTAAGTGTCTAATACTCTCCTCATATGTCTTTGATATATATATATACATATATAAATTTGGGAAATAAGTGAATAGGATTATGTAAAGTCTAATGAAATACTTGTCTGAAAGCAAAAAATGTATATAATAGTGAATTAGTAACACAATCAAGAGTAAAAGCTTTTGATTGGGTAGTCTCTTACAACCTGCTCATCTCATTGTGTATATGCTACATATGGTATTATAAAGATTATATAATTTTGTTTGTACTTATAAATTATAATGCATCTCCGTCTCAATCTACAAGATGATATACATGAAGAAATATGTGAATGAAATGGACGAGCCAATCAGGAGCGTTTTAGAAATTTCAAGGTCACAGCGCCAAATTCAGTGATTAATGCTAATGTACTATCAGTTCACAGGGAATTTTGTATAAAACATGATAATTGAGCGGCTATAACAAATAAAACGGCGAGAATATAGTTTGTGAACGAATCAATCAGGTATAAGATAATAGATCTCGGATTTTAATGAGAAAGCCTTTCATCCTATTGGTTAAATAAACTGCTGGCATCATAGCTGATGTCAGTTCGTGATGAAAACCCCATATATAATTCCTAACTAAGGCAAATTATGACAACCATCGCGAACTGGATAATAAAAGCACCAGTAACACTGGTTGCAGCCAGGTACTACAATATATTCGCATGTTTGGAGAGCGTACAGACTCCTACATAGGCTTGGTTATGTGCATCACGTTGTTATCCACAAGTAGCATTTTGTGTATTCAACAGCCGAAATACACATAAGAAATATTGTAACTATGTAGTCGATACTGAGAGAGTTTTTGATACTTCATCATGGCTCCAGAGGCCGACTATTCTGTAGCCATATGGATGATTTCCTCTACTGCATGCTTTACGATTTTAGAACCTCTGAACCTCTTTCTAAGCTTGACAAGTTTTTGAACCACGTATAAGAAGTGTATTCACTTTATTTCCTTGGTTTTGTATAATATATTTTTACTCTGCACTGACTGTTCGCTGATTGTCTAATATTTCCCAAGGCCACTTAAGATTCGTTCAAAGGTCGTCCATAAATTAGAGTATCGCCGATAGATTTATTGAATACTAAGAGTAAACAAAGTAAACTGATGAATGAAATTAAACTAATCTCTACTAATTTGATAGTTGAATTCATGAGCTAGATCACCATGAAAAACCTAGAAGTCGTGACCAGTGGAATTCAACTAGGTCTGTTATGAGATAGTCACTCACTGAATACAATTTTGGACAGTGGTGCAATTTCGTGGATTGGTTGAAGTTAGACATTAATAGCGTTAGATACCGGTCCAGCGATCTAGAGATTAAACATTCATGAGAGAGAATGATAGGTCCTGGGTTAGAATCTCACAAGGCGGGATTGTGGATGCGCATTGCTGAAAAGTTCTATACTAGGACGAAACAGCCATTCAATGCTTCCAGGTTTTCCATGGTGGTCTAGTTTCAACTGACTCATGAATTCAACTGATAAATTACTAAAATCTCCACAAAACCCCCTTCTGATAATAATCTCTACTAATTAACAAAATTGAATATTGATCAAGTAAGAAGCTTAAATTTTCTTAATCTACATTTAATACATCGAAATATGGAAAAAATAAGTAAAAACGTTTTCTTTTACAAAGATTAATAGAAATTCATGCGTTCATATTAACAACAAGAAAAATGTAAACACTTAAGATGATTTGCTTTTACATGTTTCTATGAGATTACTTAAATGTTGAATGCCATTACGATAAATACAATTAATGAGTTTACAATGTTTTTGAATATTGTATTAATCAAAGTTTTTTACATTAAGCATTTACTCAAAATAAGTTTAAAGGCTTTATGTAGAAGGTGGTCACACATATATATGCACACACACACACACTAGTGGAAGTACAATGATGTGGTGAAATATTCATTCAATAATTCAATGGTTAGTTCATTAAAAGAACTAATTTCATAATTGAATAATCTTGATAAACTACTCAACATATTTTTTTTAAAATTTTTTTATGTTCAAGTTGACATGTGTATTTTCATGTTTACAATGAATTAATTAATTAAAAAATAATTGCAAAAATATAAAAAGTTTTTCATCTACTTTAATACATTTGATTAGTTTACTTCCAAAGTGAATTGATCTTTTAACGCACATAAGTTGATTGAATATATTCATTTGTCCTATTGACTCATTGTTACTTAAGTTTGAGGATACTTATTTTTATGACTTTTGTCCTGATAAGCTTGCTAATCAGAATACCAACTTGTATGAACTTGACCCTGTACCAGACCAATGATTCATTAACCAGCACGAACAGCCTAGATTCAACTGTGGGTTGTTATTAGTTCCTCTCGCTTAGCCCTGTCCGTTTAAGTCAAGAATACAATATCAGATTTCATTGTATGAATCATGTATTTCAGATACACTCAGTTTATATACAAGTATATCAAAAAGGCACCATACTATAAAATAGAAAATACAAGATCAAGCCGAAAAGTGGCTGTGAGTGTGAAAGATTGTAACTAATAGACTGGGAATAACTTAAGAATAATAAATCGTGTAATAATAGTCCATAGGTCAAATGAAAGCTTATAATAACAGAAATATAATTATGTATAATCTAGTTACTTAATTCTTGTTCAATAGAAATATATGTAATAATAGTCCATAAATAATTCCTAGCAGTTACCATTCATTTATTCTTCATTCGGACTCAACACTTATTATTACGTCTTTTATTGGGGACGTTAGATCCCCAGAATTCACTTGGAAAAGGTCCTAATTCTGTAATTTTATTTTGAAAATTTGAATTTCTTTGTTTTCGCGCCAAAAGTGCTCTTTTTGCCTTCATGTCTTATTTTCCACTTGGGAGAATCTTAAGCGCTATTGGTCCGTTGTGTCTTTTAGTATGGTATTTTGTAACACTTCCCAGGGACGGTTTTGTGCTGTATATATACGTTTTGATTTGTGTCTGTTGTTATCGCTCGTGCTTCTGGCTTTTTGCGGAATATACTTCCCCGTTCGGAATTCGACTTCTCTCTCTAGTTAGCGGGACTGGGACGCTAGTTTACTGGTCTTTGGTCACAAGTCGCAGACTAAGTTAACTCGTAATCGCATCATCACAACATTTTTCTACTGAGTTTACGTGGAGATTTTGCACAATTTTTTAAGTAAGCCTCTTTACGATCTGGATAGGATGCGTGTCCGTAACTTTGTGATGCATCTGAATTCAAATGTTTAATACATGCGTCATATCTAGTACTTATCCGTTTATATAGTGTGAGTGCTCTATTTAACAGCCTAATTTTTCACTGAAGATATCATTTCAAGCTCTAACTTTCATTTTACTTGCTTTCCTCATTCAACAAGTTGAGATTCATTACAGTGTTGTGTTCATAGAGAACATATTTAAATAGATTTAGATAATCAAAATGATGAAATCACTAGTAAAAATCACACTATTATATGTGACATTGAAATAATGTCGAGAAATAATTAATGGTGTACACTTATTGAATATTGAAAGAGAATGATTTTCCTCACATGTACAAACTCACATCATCTAGTATACTATTAAAAGCGTAGGTATTAATTTTTTTAATCATTGGTATGTACCAAAAAACGCTATTTTTCATTTAAGTTGGTTCACATTGTTTAACGTAGTTGAATAATGAATGAAATAAATGTTATTATGGATATGTTTATCATCAATGACGTTCTATATTTTGGACATGAAATAGTGGATTGTTTATGTTGAAACAAACAGTGCGTAAATTAGTTTTAATGTCATATGAAATATGAGAAAAAACAAGCGTTGATTTATCTTCGGTCATTATGAAATAAATTCCCATGAGACTACGATGTTAAATAATAATGTAATCGTCAGTATGGGGTTGTGGAGATTATTAAGTTTTTGATTGAGATCATTGAAATCCCGCAATAGAACGAAACGGCTGTCCAGTGCTTTCAAGTTTTTAATGGTGGTCTAACATCAGTCGGTTCATGATCTCAATCAAAATAATGTATTCTTAAATAATATTGTGAAATTTACGGAGAGCACCAGTTTTCACCAAAACTATAGATATATATTTTTTTACTGATGAGTGTCTGATAGCACGAAACCAAAGTTCAGGAATATCTGTCGTTTATCTTTAACCACTTAACCTAAAAGGCTTTCATTACTATCATAACTGATCAGTAAATTACCGATTCTCATGTACTACGAGCGTAATAATTACCTCATGAGAGTAAAGATTTAATTCTGTTCAGACAGGTAAATCGATTGTGAATTAACATTTCTATATGTAAATATTGAAAAGTACCAAAAACCCGTTCAACACATCGACTTATAGCTGATGATGGAAACCAGAAATTAGAAAAAAAACACTTCTCAATTCAAAAATAATAAAAAACTGTTACTTTATTTAATGAGAATGTGACATTATTTAATTTTTTATCTTTTTCCATACAAGTACTTCATAGTCTGAAATCGGATTCTCCCGTCCACCCCATGGCATATAGGCACATACATGACCTTCATGCAACTAAAAGACGATTTAAAAAATGTGATAATAAACATTGTTTTGAAAACTGATTTAAATATACTCCCTAAAATACACTTTATTACTGAATATGTAATGAATCAAGTATAATCAAAACAAAGTATAATAACTGTTGACCGAATCAAGTTTAAAATCTCAACTGCATTTCGATTTTCATTATTGTATACTAATTATAATGAAAAATTCAGTATCCACATTTCAACCTAAATCTACAGGAGATATTCAGCACTAAAGACTAGGCGATCATAACACATGTTATTTTCTTGGAAGAAGATTTTTCGAGTTTAGTTTGATTTGCAAGTTATCCTCTTCTCGGATAGATCTTGATTCTGTCACCATTGAAAACCAGGGAGCACTGGATAACATCCTCATCCCCACTATGGGTAGAACCCTAGCCGCTGTGAATAGTGATGTACAAACATGTGACAATAGACGCACTTATCTACCAATGACAGGGTCGCGCAATATAACGAATTTAACTAAGTTAGGAATGTAGGTTATCGAACCCAGAAGTCCTAATTGTTAGGCGTTTGTAGTAAGACCTGAGGACCCTGAATCCGATCACCGGTGAGATCATGAGCGGGCACTCCCACTGAGTCCCAATCCCTACTGGCTTTCAATGGTCTCCTAAATGAGACCGATGTGTGACGAATACAACGTGTGTATAATATTTCCCCATACTGAATAGTTTGCACCCCTGATTAGGAGTTGTAAGTAATTATGTCCTTCAAGATATATTTTCCCGACAAATATCAACCTTGTTGTAAAAAATTTTGCGGCTAACTTTAACCAACACTTTAATCAACTGATATGTCAGGTGGTTAGAGGTGGTCGACAGGAAACCCTTCTCGTCTAAGACTTATTTCTAGTTAGAGTCCGTTATTCAGACGTACCTGTAACGTTACGGTAAATAGTGGATTCAAATTAACGTCATCCAACTTGATTGTTCGAGGTGTTACCGTTGAGCCACTCGAACTTCAGCTAACCTATTATTACTTATTTACTTACGCCTGTTACTCTTCGTGGAGGAGCATAGGCCGCCCATCAGCACCTATTATGGGGCTGAGATATTTACAACTGACTCATCGCTAAATAGTGACCGATGTCATTTTTCTTTACGTCGAATTGTTAGTCGGATTGTCCATGTCTAGGGTTTACTGTTGATTTTCTTTGACCGTCTAAAATTCGTACGTAGTTCACACAATATCGATTTACTTAGATTAGTAACAGCATCACCACTCGATAGAATTCGATTAGTGCTAAAAAAACTAGTCAAAAATGACACTAGTCATTACTCAGTGATCAATCGTTTAGAAGCGAACCAATTCAAAGAACAATAAACTTCGAATATTACTAGCAAGCGATGAACATCTTGAAACTTATAGTCAAAGATAACATTAGATTTACAGCAACCATATTGAAAGAGAGACTCATGGTATATTTACTTAAGATGAAGTGAAATAGCTTTTTAAAGGTATGGACTTTAGTTTCATTGTTATTATTATTATTATAAAGAATGAAATGTGATGCTTTTCCTCACCTTCCCAACGCATACATTATTTTCAACGTATCCTTTTGCAACATAGAGTGGTTTTCCATCAGAACCGATCCCAGCAATAATTGCACGTTTTGGATATTCCCCACCAGAAGACTTTACCCATTCATATCTAATTTGATAATAAGTGGTAAAAATAATAATAAAAAAGTATCTTTTTAAAATCCCTTTCGAATTATAAACTATAAAGCAGGTTACTTTTATCTAATTACAAACTGCTATTACTTGGTCACAGGATAATGGAAAACTATTAGAAAGATAAAATCCAGACAACCTCTCACTGACTGTCTTGACTGGTTTTCTTCCAGCCAATCAGTGTTAGTGGATGGTTCGAGAATGTACTAGCAGCTTCTCCCGTAAATTCATTATAAACCAATATTTTGCTACCGTAACCTTATTTCCTTTGAATCTCCCTCCGGCTGTGGATAAGTCAAGTGAAGCGTAGTAAACACAGAGATTTTGTTCAGTAAAAGAATTTTCTTTTCAATTATTTCATTCTCGAGGCTGTTTAAACATACATATATATATATATATATCCCTTTTTATCCAACCATATCCTTTGGAGATCCACCGACCAATTGTAATTATAATTTATAAGATATGACTTCATGTTCTAATCTCTATAAGTATGCCTTTATGATAGAAGACTGGTCTAAATTTCACAAAGAATTGAACCTATAAAGTTTCGTATCCAGATTCATAACAAATCGAAAGAAAAGAAACCTTTTCATGAAATTTTGTCTTTGTAATGTTATAACAAAAATTATATAAATTTTTATATACATATACTAGTTTTATATACATACATACCCTTTTCCAAGTTCATACAATGAAGTATCACATAGGACTTCATATTCTGTTAATTCTATTTCTTCACCTCCATGTGAACAGTAACATTTTCCTTCTTTAGGTACAAGTTTTCCAGGAAGCATTTCATTCAAAAACCTAGACCGAACAACAAAAACACCATCACCAACAGAAATGGCATTTTCTGGATATTTTCCGTGACTTTGTGGAATCCATGAAAGTGGGATTTGTACACCTTTACCAATTTTAGCCATCAATAGATATATTCTATATACATAGAAGTTATGTAGTTAAAATTATACAAAGTATAACAACTTTTTAAATCAAAAGTAATATCTAATGTATGTTGAGAGTCCATAAATTCCCCTCGAAGAAGATTCTAAATGTCCAGAAAAAAGTTGGAAACATTTTACTTAATCAGCACTGAATAGAAGCTTCCCATAAAAGCGTTTAGAGAAATAACTTATGCAACACATTTTGAATAAATGATTACATGTGTTGCCACCATATTTAGTATATTTTCAAGAGTTTCTAGAAGATCAAAGTCGTCGGAAATCCCATAAATAAACTTGACTTTCTATACATAAACCGACTTTGTTGTTGAGCTTTCATACATATTTCACGCCTTTTTTCTGTTGTTCTAGTTGAAATGTATAAGTAGTTTAGGGTTATAGGTAGTGAGTAGAAAGTCAGTAACAAGCATCCAAGCAGTAGATTTACAAAATTCAATTATAAAGCGGTTGGCAGGACCCATACCATATTTGGTGAATTTCAAATAGGTATATGTAAAACTTTGAAAAATCTTTAATTATTTATTGGTTACTTAAATGACTAGTTTTGAAAGGGTTGATAAAAATATCAAACCTAGAGTAAATTTTGAAGCTTCAGGTATCCCCTGTTGACAAGAACCCACGATCACTAAACAAAGGATCTCAAAGACTGCCTGTTAATACTTATATTAGTCAGCCATGAGCAACGTAGAACCTGGTACATACGTGCATTGGTTCAACTCGTCATATTTACATAAGAATGAAGACACAAAAGATTGCAATTGTAGCTTTTTATTTTGGGATCAGTTGGTTATTCTCGATGATTAAACAAAAACAGAGATGATCTTAAGAATAATCAAATGACCGCTAACAAAGCATATGAGAAAATGCTTATATCAACAAAACGAAGGTGAAACACTACGTGATAACTATTATCCAAAAAAGTCATCGATTCTCATAGCATACCGTAACTAAACTTATTGTCTTTTAGTAGTGAATGTGAACATATTTACATGATATACGGAAATTAGACTAACAATTCTCTCGAACTTCCAACTGTCAATAAAAAAGTTGGTGTATTCAAATGTTTAGCTCTACTATGAAATAAAATAGCGAGTTTTGATAAACTAGTTTTGTGGAGATTATTTCCATCTTTATAGTATATTCGTCATAGATTTATCTAACTTGATGTACCACTGATAATCAGGATGTATTGAACAACTGTTTCATTCAAGTATGGAACTCTTCAGTATTGCTCAATGGTTACCTTGCTACGGATTGAATAAAAAAACCTTCAAGTCTTTTAGCGAACAGGGTTACGGGCAGGTAGGGGTGAGAAATCTTGCGCTACAACAAATACCTAGTTAGTGTTCCTTCGTTTTTAATGCTACCTTTACTGAAATGAGTCCGTGACAAACAAATTCTACGAATATTGAGTAACCACTAAGTACACGTAAACTAGAAATAACAAATATAACTAAATGTTTACTCACGTTACGGCGATTTTATCGTTACAACCAAAGTTGTGACTAAAATAATGTTTTTCTTTCAAAACAGTGTCTTTATGAAAGATATTTTCACACCAACTAATATGTCCGTGTTAGTGGCTCTTGTATAAATTATTGGTTGCGTCATGTACAGACCATATTTACTAGCTCTCCAATCGCATACAAGACGTTCGATTTCTTCAAGATTGACCAATCATATTTATATTCTTGTATCTGGATTTTAGTACAAACCCTTAAATATTTTGTCAGAAAATTTGGACAAGGCACTCATTCACTGTAAAATTACAATTCCAAGTTTCAGTTTATACATAAGTACTAGTTTGTTCAATGTTTCCGATTGATTGACGATTAAATTACATCAAATCCTTAATCGAACAAATGATGTGACCTGAAAATAACTTTTTAGAATACAAATGACCTAAGCTAGTTTCTGTGCTGTATTTGAATACAACTAAAATGCAGTCTTCATGAATCAAACAGCAGAGAAGTAGAAAACTAAAAAGTCTAACATTTCCCAACCAAATTCCTACAAATAGATCTCAGCTAATCATGAAACGTTTTAAGCAACCATACTTATTTAAATATCACACGTAAACTACATTTAACACCAATAGATGGGTATTTTCTAGTGAGCTTCCAATCCATATATATAATTAATAAATACTAAGTATAATAGCATGTTTGATAAGAGTTTAGTATAAGGACGAGCTTGTAACAACCGTGACGAATTTGCAGGCAGTTCTTAGCCAATCAGAAGACAACTTTTGCAAACGAAAAGGTTATGAAAAAATATTGATAAATGTAGTTGAATTTTACGTATTTAATGAATTTATTAGGGTCTTCGATGGAGAATGCTGGTGGGCGGCCCATGCTCCTCCACTAAGGGTAATAGGCGTAAGTAAGTAGTAAGTAATGTAACTAATTATTACAATTGTTTTAGTTTACCCAGTACTAGCCTTCGATAAATATATATGTATATATATTACCGTACTGAAAATATTCGCATTTCATTCACCAAAATGTTAGAAAGACATCAATATTTATTATTGACAATATAATGCTAAAAAAAAGTCAATCTGTCATAAGCAATGTAAAACCTAGCAAATATGTGCATTAATACGAGTTGCTATACCACACCAGTACAACGAGGTAAACTGATCTAGACAAATCCCACTGTAGTAGAGGTAGTAACAGTATTAATAATAATATAAAAGACTAGGTACAGACAGTATAACTCAAGAAGAAAAACATCAGACAATTTCAAAACCCAAGATCTAAGGGTAGACTAAAAATGAATATATCTACTTCGTTGTGACCGATTCCTACACTGTCACCCGGATTCTCTCCCTATTGGCTACGATAATCAGGTATACCTTATTCAGTTAGTCTGTATCTACCAACGTGTGTGTTGCTAATGATATTACAAAACTGAATGGAATGACTTCTAGATAAGTATGGATTACTGAAATTTAAGCTTGCAATAGTTTATTTCTTTAGAAAATTGCATGCTGGCATGTTACTAAATTTTTCTGTGATGTCCGTTTTTGTCTAAATGAAAATACAAAAGGGATAATCTAATCCTTATTTCGTTTCTTTACATATATATATATGAGTACTTTTACAGCAAGTTCATCCGACAAATAGTTAATTGTTAGTCATTTATGAAGTGACTTCAACTAGAGAACTGTTGAAAACCAAAGTATGCGTAAAATGACTGCCCTATTCATGTTTGGGACTTTTAAAAGATATTTACCAATGACCGACCACTCCATCCAGTTAGGAACCAATATTTGATGTTCTTGACTTCAGATACTTTAAAATAAAGCATGATAATTATTCGAAATCAATAGTCAATTCACGTCTCAACATTTATTTAAATCCTAATTATTTATATTTAATCAATAGCCAGTACAAAGTGGATCTATGTAAAAAAAACAGTCATAATTTTTCTAACATATATTCTTCGTTGGTTGGTGATCTTTCTGAACAAGATTCTTTTTTATGAGATGGGGTTGCCAACCCTATCGTGCACAGTCATCGGTTTATCTTCTTTCTTCTTGTTAACAGTTAGGGTCTAGATTAAGATTTTTGAGGGCATAATACTGAAGAGTGATTTCGTTGCGTTAATTTATTGAGATCACTCGTGAACTCGTTAACTACGTTCAGCCACACATTACTATTGCACTGAATTACTTGGCAGATAGGAAGTTATAACAGTTTGCAATAAAAACCATCTTTAAGCTGAACACACTTCTACGGGTACGTTATCTACATCGTAAATAAAATAATGAAAAATTCACATGAAAAATTTTCATGATAATCGTTATGAACTACGACATGATTAACTCAGTAATAACAAGTATCTTTGCTTATAAAGTTTATGTGATCCCTTATTTGGTCCATCGCTGGCTTATAATTTCCACAGCAGTGTTTGGTGTTTTAGTGCGTCTCATTATCGTAATTTATGTGTTTGAAATATTTGCGGGAATCTCTGCTGCCAGTATATGTTTAATGATTTCAGTGTATACTTACTCCATGTTCACGTGCTTCATGTGATAATATACCAAACACTTTTGAGTCGTTTTTGTAAATTCTACAAATTAGAGTATGTTTTTTGGCTGAAATTATGCTAAGTTGCTTTCAAAGGCTTTTTGCTTAAACCTCTGCTATATGTACGTCTCTCACATGCAAAGACGCAGTAAATCCTTCCCACATAATCGACGTTTTAATTGTTTATTTGATTTCTTAACACGATTGTTTGCTTTTTTCTATGATAATTAGAAGTATTCGAATGAGTATGCTAACTTAGAATTCCCGGAAGAGTGCAGTATAAAGAAGATAGAACTAGATAAGTACAGCTGAACGCATTTAATTTGGAGTTTTAATAAGCGCGCAATCAAGTACAAAGGAATCATCAGTTAGTACGAATACAACAGTTCCACAACATCAAAAAGGCAGTTCAGTTGTGTTTTATTTTCATCTAATTTTGCTCTAGGTAAGTAGCTATTCAGCGATCACTCAAAGATAAATCTGGCGAAATTTCGTCACAATCTGACTATTAACATCACATAAGCAAAGTCCTCTCACGTACCTCGATTAGCATTTTATGTAGTCTATGAACACAATTACTGAAAAGCGCACACGCGTAACCATTTAGTCAAGTGTATCGAGTGCCATCCCTGTTACCTGGTTGACCTCTCCACCACAGAATTTGCTCACTTTTTTAACAGGTCGTCGAGTAGATAACAAGTCGCTAAAATTACCAAAATCCAACGATCTATAGATTTACCCAGAAGTAAATCTCTGACAATTTCCTCACCAATTTTTCGGCACACTACACAGTAATCGTCTTGTCAAATTGCTCTCCTGCATCTTTTAATATTTATCCTTATGGCTTCCCGTCGTTATCATAGGCATCATGACTTTGATTTGTTCATCAGTTAATCTTTTAAGGTATGGGCCATTAGTCAAATATTTCTAGTCGCATGGATGGCTGAGCAAGAATTTGGATGGTCCTACAATAAAGCGGTTCAAATCATTGTGCATCCGAAATATTTGACGGCAACTGGTAAGTTGCGAACGACAACTTATTCGACACAATAACACCGGCTTTGCTTTGTGACCGATGCAACACTTACACACCACATACTGATAACATACTTCGGGTTTATCTTTAGCAAGCTTGCTTTTGCTCACTATATACTACGTCGGTGTCATCTGAGGGTATATGCCTTTCTGTAAAACGACTATGACGTCCTTAACTTGCACACATGTTGTCATGTGTCTGAGTCTTATTGCATTTACAAATATATTCTTGATTTCTAAAAAAGGAAAAGTATTCTGGATTCGTTCGTTTTATTCAGGGTATAAGGTTGCTCACGATCCTGTACAGAACAATAAACTGGATATTGTTTTTTGCATATTCCTGAACAACTTCATACATGACACTTAGTGACAAGTATTTTCACAGATGGCATATCTCAGGCGATGGCTATCTGATTTCAGCAAATAACATTACTCTGATTTATAGAATTTACTCAAAACGGTTTCGGCCATTATCACATGAAACAAGTGAACATGGAGGAATTATAAACTAGCTCCATAAAAGTTTCAATTTCAATTCGGGAAGTATAGGTTGCTGAGTCGTCTATGTCAGTCCTGGCAATGGTGGTCTGTCAGTAAATTTAACTGTTTTGGATCCGTCGACGGGTGTGGCCCTGATCCCATGTTGAGATACCGAATTCTGTTTCGTCGATTTTTCGATGGAAAAGTAGATAGTTAACTGAAAAGTGGTTTGTTGTGGGCTCGTAAGCATTTTAATGTTCTTCTAAATCCTCAGCACTGGGTGATAAGAAAAACGGAGACATTTAAGATGCAAATTTATTATTAGGCAATTTAAAAACTTTGATCAGACCACCTCTGGTCCTCCTATATGACAAGCCAAATAGGTTTCGTTTAGACAGTCACTCACCATATGGTAGACTTGAGATTCCTGGAATAAACTTGGTTGCGGTTCTTTGAACCTTTTCCAACAGATTACTGTATTTTGTCAGACGTGTCACGCTGCTTGTATGCAATACCCGAGTTTATTGAGAGTGAATAATGGTATAAAATCTGTAAGCTCTTAGCACTGACATAGCTTAGGGTTCTGTGTGTTGGCTGTTGGGTTATGACTCTTCTGGTGACAATCCCATGAGAATATGGAATAGTTTTCGAGTCTTGGCTAACGATAGCTCCTGGGTCAACAGGTGGGCAACCAGTGGCTCAATATTATTCACCTTGTATATCTGTTCTTTGATGACTAATATGCCTTGCGATGCACTTAAAAACATTCATCGACCACCACCAAATTCTAGGCCGTCGAGACAATTTCTCCAGGCCATATGGAAGCTCTAAACAATCACCCTCACTTTTCATTTTCCTAAATATCTTGATATCATCAGCATATAGCAAAATCATTTGTAAAAGGGGACTAGAAAGGTCATTTACACGCAGGAGTATCACTGGAAATTATTATATATTCTGGAGCACTCCACTAAGCACGATGTCCTATATATACAACCTGGAGTTCACCCGTACCCTCCAAGGACTCCTAGCGCGGGGATCCTTTATCCGCATTATTTATTTCCCATCCCGATATCACTTAGCTTAGATAATAGCCTGTTGTGCAGACCTTTGTCAAAAGCCTTATTGGGGTTAACGAAGGCTACATCGGTATTTAGCTTGTGATCTTGAAGACCACACCGAGGTTCACGGGCTACTAATAAATTAATGAGACGCTCACTACCTGTACTAAAACCGTACTGCTTTCCAGAATCCAATTTATGCCTAAACTCTTAAACGACTATTTCTAGAAAAAAATAGTTCATTTGAGTCCATCGTTGAGGGCTCCACGTCGGACTATGTACTCTATTGAACTTAAGTCGAATAATACTGTTTTCTAAACAGTTTCGGAAACAAGATAAAAATGAGTCAGTGAAAATCATCGTTGAAAGGTCCTCTTTAAGTACGTGTGGTACGGTATTGAGAACTGTGCGAATCTTAGGAATATGGCAGTGACCAGTATCTTTTGGCCCAAGCAAACCGTCCAACAGTAGCAATCGGAAACTACTTAGAGGAACCGCCCAGGGTAGATCTTATGGGGAATCTTGGTGGGTGGCTCGTGTTCCTCCACGAGGAGTCCCATGCTATGGCTAGATTAGACGCACAAGATGTGCCTTCCCTAAACCCGTGTTCGACTTCATGGAAGACAGTGCTTTCATCCGTTTATTCCCTCATTCGTCCATTGGAAAGTCCTTCCGTTACCTCCGACAGTACTGGCAGTAATGTGACCCGTCCGTAGAAAATTGTACCTTTCCCATCACCCTCTTTGAAGATTGAACAGAGTACCCTGTCTCCATTCTCTTTACTGTTGGTGTGAGTCTTGGGGGTACCTGACGACTTCTGAGCGCTGTTTCAAGATTATAACTCGGATTTTGTCACATCCTAGCGATTTTCCTTGGATTAGAGACTTTAATCTATTTAATACTAGCCTTGCAGGTAGTCGGATACATACCATACCCTCAACTGGCACTAGACTTGAGAGGTGTTTCGTGCTTGAGAGCTTCTGGTTTACTTGGTAGACGAAGTTAGCATTGAAGGCTTTTACCATCTCTAAGTCAGTGAAATCATTACCACTTCACCCTTTTAGAGCACACATCCCTTGGTTTAGCCTGTAGCAAGCGTCCCGTGCCTCAATTAACCCAGGATCATTTCGTTCCAAATGTGTGCTTTGTCCAAAGTTTAATGTGTTAGATATCATTCGTAATGATATTCCTCACCACTTTCTATCAACCCCTGTCACTCCCGTGAACATGAAGCGTCTTTAAGTGCACCCTGATTACACAGACTATGGTATTCTAGAGTCGAAGTTCATAAAGCAGTCCTCCTAGTTTAGAGAAATATTGATCCAACAAGTAGTGCAATCATTCAAGAAGAATAGTGTTTCTAGACCCCGCTGATGAAAGTAATCTTACCATACTCCTATACGGTATCTGCCTCTCTCATGGCATTTTGTGTCAACAAACTCTGGTTATCAAATAGGAACTGCGCACATTCTGACAAGCCACATGATGCAAGGATCAAGCATAAAAGTAAATCGGAACCGTCCATTCCACTTGCGGACTACCAAGAACAAGGGAAAACGAGGAACGGAAAGGGACCACCAACTCGGAAAACTCTAAGTAGTTGGGCTCATTTAAACAAAACGGCTGAGGAAGCTCACGCGTTTCAAATCAAAAACACAAACTGCCTATATATGAACACCATGAGTTCATCGAACAAAATAGATGAGTTAGATGAACTAAGTAATTCTAGTATTGCTCATCTGATAGGAATATCTGGAATATGGGCATGTCATATTAAGGACCTGGAGCTTGCAACACCTAGAGTGCCTTTGTTTCGCAACGACAGAGAAACAGGAGTTGGAGGCGGAGTGGCCCTTTATCTACGATCGTGCTTGGTAGCACATCAAGTGTACACCCAAGAAATCACAAATCTTGATACATCTGTATGGTTTTCAGTAATAGTCAAATACCTCGAAATGTCTAGTAAGAGTCATCTGCAGGAAGCCCATCGCTGTCAGCGATTACGACAATCATGTGCTGTAGGAATTATCTCGCTATATTCGTCTCCGATACACTCATATACAATCACTCATCACAAGCAGCGTACAGTCATAAAAGAAAAAAGGCACTACTGGGCGGAATAAAAACGAATTAATGATGGCAGTACATACTGGCATTCCAAACAAGCAAGGAGCTAATGCACAAAGGCAATAAGTTAATACAGGCTTCAGTATGACACAAGGCTAATCGATAAATTTTCCTCCAATCCGGAAAGCCCATTAGGATATGCAGCCTCTCTTTGACAAACCAAAACTGGATTTTCCCAGTCGATAGGTCCTGATGTCCCAGCCATCAACAACAGTGACGCCGCCGACTTTCTGAAAGAACAGTATTTCCAAACATTTCAAATATCTCATACAAATTACATGCACGATACCTTTACTTGC